AGTCCTTGACTTACAACCATTCATTTAGCGACCAAAGTTTCAACGGCACTGAAAAAAGCAATTTTTTTACATTAATGACCATTGATCATTGCATGGTCACATGAGCAAAATTTGGATGCTTGGCAACTGGCGTGTATTTATGAGGGTTGCAGTGTTCCTGGTTCACGTTATTACATTTGCAACCTTCAGACAAGCAAAGTCAATCGGGAAGTCAGATTCACTTAACAACCGTGTTAAGTGCAGCGATTCACTCATCAACTGTGGCAAGAAAGATTGTAAAATGGGGCAAAACTCATTTGACTGTCTAGTTTAGGAACAGAAATTTTGGAGTCAATTGTGGTCATAAATCGAGGACTATCTGTATTCCAGCATTCTTAGGTCAAGGCATTGTCTTAAATATGGAATCTTTGTATTTGTAAATCAGACACATACATATATCCTATTTAATTTTTTTTACAAATTGCCTCTTTCATTTTCACTAAATGGCAGGCTATATATATAAATAAGACCTAAAATAATCCCCTCAATACTTGCAGCACAGTCAGGTGTCATTACAGTATCAGTGATTCTGAAAACTAAAAAATACATTAACCATTTTCCATGCATATTTTGCTGCTCCCGGAAACCATGACAAATCAGGATATCAACGAGCAAATGTATCATCAAAAGATAAAGCAAGTTTTTTTTTAAAAAGATACGAAAGTATGAAGCTATACATTAACAATTTCAGAAACTTGCTATGAAAAATCAAGATATGTAATTGCATCATTTATGCCTTTATAGGTACAATCATAGCCTGCTGTGCTTATGTTTCAAACGTCTCACTTGTTGATGACATTTTCATTTTTACCACCACCTGGATTAAATCATCCTAGGTTTCATGTGATCATGGCTATTTTCATATCAGTAAAATCAATACATTATTATAGTTCTGGAAAAGAAAGACAAAAGCTGAATACCGAGATGTCTGAAAATCTAATTGAGAAATCTCAAGCTTAGCAGCCATTCAGATGTTTGTAAGGCAGATATGATATGCCTAATAATTGAACCCTGTTTATTCTGTATGTTGGATGGCTAAGTAAGTGCAAGTAGTCCTCGACTTACGACTACAATTGAGCCCAAAATTTCTGTTGTTAAGTCATACATCTGTTAAATGAGTTTTGCCCCATTTTATGACCTTTCTTGCCACAGTTGTTAGGTGAATCACTGCAGTTGTTAAGTTAGTAACATGGTTATTAAGTGAATCTGGCTTCTCCACTGATTTTACTTATCAAAAGGTTGCAAAAGGTGATCACATGACTTTTGGACACAGCAACGGTCATAAGTATGAACCAATTGCCAAGCATCTGAATTTTGATCACTCGATCATGGGGATGCCACAAAGATCGTAAGTGTGAAAAATGGTCATATGTCACTTTTTTCAGTGCCGCTGTAACTTTGAAAGATCACTAAATGAACTATTGTAAATCGAGGACTATCTGTAGTCCAGAACATCTCTCTCCAAACTTAACACTGTCCCAATCTCAAATAAGATACCTGACACTTGTCAAAACTGTAAATGCTCTCTTTGGCAAGGGGGGGGGGGTGTTTACAAGGCCAGCTTTTTCTGCCATAATTCCCACTAGGAGTGAAATCCAGAAGATTCTTACAGGTTCTGGAGAACCGGTAGCGGAAATTTTGAACAGTTCAGAGCCTTGGGGCGCAGCAGACTAAAGTGCTGTTAAGTAGTACTTAGCTGCCAGCTGCCTGCAATTACTGCAAGTTCAAATCTCACCAGGCTCAAGGTTGACTCAGCCTTCCATCCTTCCGAGGTAGGTAAAATGAGGACCCGGATTGTGAGGGCAATAAACTGACTTTGTATAAAAAGAACACCGCTTGGGGGGGCCCGAAAGCCCTACTAAGCAGGTATATACAAAAGTATGAAGGCTATTGCTTAACGCATTGTAAGCCGCCCTGAGTCGCCGGAGAAGGGCGGCATTTAAATCAAACCAATAAATAAATAAACTGGTAGCGGAAATTTTGAATAGTTGGGAGAACCGGCAAATACCACCTCTGGCTGGCCCCAGAGTGGGGTGGGAATGGAGATTTTGCAATATCCTTCTCCTGGAGTGGAGAGGGAATGGGGATTTTGCAATATCCTTCCCCTGGAGTGGAGTGGGAATGGAGATTTTGCAGTATCCTTCCCCTGGAGTGGGGTGGGAATGTAGATTTTGCAGTATCCTTCCCTTGCCACACCCACCAAGCCACGCCCACCAAGCCAAGCCCACAGAACTGGTAATAAAAAAATTTGGATTTCACCACTGGTTCCCACCCTCAGAATATCCTCCTCCAGGTTGGCCCCAATTCTTCTGCTCTTTTGAAAGATCCACCCAGCCCTTGGCCCTGAGTTTATGAAGAGCCAACACACCAAGTCGTGTCAGAGACTGCTGTATTTTTTTTAGCTGTTCTATGTTTTGGTTTTTGCAGTTGTAATAATTTTAATTTTAAATATTGTTCATCACCCAGTCACCTGTTCAAGATGGACAGCTAGATGAATTGACTAAATAAATAAATCTTCAGTTATCTTTATAAAATATAAAACCACATTTTTTAAAACACAAAATGTTGGTTTTACTGGCTATGAGTTGGTGGTAAAATTTAGGAAAGATAGTGAACTTAGCTAAAATCACTCATGACCTGCTGCTTGGAAAATGATGTCTAAAATTTTCCACAGCACTCTATACTACGCTCAAATGATTGTGTTGTTCTTGAAATAGACCACTTATGTCCGTTTGTTGCTTATGATGCTCATCTTCTTTAACATTCTATATTTTAAGAATACTGCACAAAACTCTTCAAACTATGCTAGCAACCATCAGAAATGGACAAAGGGTCTACCCACGAGTACCAGTAGATTCAACCAAAATAATCCAATTTACTTTGGCTGCAAATCAGGCTAAAGATTTGAGTTTAACAATATGGTATTTCAACTTATTCATTTATTTTTCACTCACTGTTGAATTTCACTGTTCAAGCACTGCCTTATCTATAGGCACCTGAAATTGAATGGTTGGTAAGTCTGGAAAGAAGCTTCACCAAGAGCCTAGTAGAGGTACAGAAGAAATGCAGGTTGGCCCAAAGTCAGAATTTTGTTCCGCTTCAATGGAGGCCAAGGCTACTTTATAAAGTCAGATGCAGTCAGTCTTTGTTTTTAAAAAAAATTAGAAATAACAGTATCATTATGTAGATAAGAAGACAAAAGATCTGGGTTTGATAGGTCAAACTGACCATTTAATTTAGGTCCTTAATCACTGAAAAAATATTTACAGATGATATGATCCATCCTATGCAAAAGACCCAACCCCAAGCTACCTTGGTTGCAACAAAGTAATTCTAGGGTGTTTGGGGTGAGGGTGGGGTAAGGCTGAAAAACTAAATGCATTTTATTTAATATTTGTCCTAAGAATGCTCAAAAGTAGATTTTTTTTAAAAAAATAGGCTGCTGTATTCTCTCTCTTCAGGACAACCTACAGCATTGCATAAATAATTAAACCTGTCTCCATATTACTGATTACTATATTATTCAATAGGCTTGTAACTAATTAGTAATAATTAATAAGGATGGAGGAAAGATAGTACTCTACTCTGCCATAAAAATAAGGCAGTTCCATTGGATTTCTTAGCCTAACATTCTCTTAGGTATCTATTTCGCCAATTTAAATACATTATAATTACAATAATTATAATAGCTCCAATAAATATAAATTACATAATTGAAATTGAATGACTTATGCAAATCAAATGAGCCTGTATCTTCAATGGCAAGCCACAATCCTAAATGTAGTTCAAGACAGCATGTAGTTTATTCCCTGAACATTTACATATTTCAAATAAAATAGCTCTGAACCAAGAATTGGATGGATGGATGGATGCATGCATGGATGGATGGAAAGATCTTCTGACAGACAAATTGCAGACCAAAGACAACTCTGATCTTGGCATTTGTATGTCCTCTGCCAAACATCATAGTTTTGGGCCTGATAGCCAATATTTTACAAATCCTTTCAGCAGCTGGGTTTTTTTTTTTCATTCTATCCCCTGGATTTTCATTAGCCTACAGTGCACTATTAAAAAAAGACATCCCTGTATCCAATATTCAACTGAATTTCTCCTTTGCAAAAACATACACATTCCTCCTCTCTCTGCTTTGCATCTTGTACTACAGTAACAGCAGCACAAGCCTCTTACACCAACGTTCTCTGTAGCAGGTGCAGCTCAAAAGCCCTTTGCCTCTCTTCTGAGTAGCTTCCTCTATGCGATAATGACTGCTTACAGTCCAAGAAACTGAGAGTGCTCTTTAAAGAGCTCTGAAAAACTGAAAAAGACAGGATTTATTTGCATCAGGTTACTGCGTACTGTAGTTCTCTATCTGCAACATATTACTCATCTGTCCATCAGAACTGAAGAGGGTAAAAACAGAACCTATCACGATGCTAAACTGGTCATTTAGTCTTTTCAAGGAGGGTAACATTTAGGGGCTGAAATATTAGGAAAAGTAAGGCAATTCAGAAACTTCAAAAAATTTTGATTTCAAAAAGCCCAAAGAAACATCTGAGAAACTAAAAGAGCCTTCTTTAGCTGTGCATAAGCTATTATGTTGAGGGGAAACAATAACAAATAGTAGTATGTCAGATAAATCTCTTTTTCTAGAATAGGTAAGTCGTAAACTAGGACCTATGCAGCACTGGATGTTTACCTGTATGAAATATCAGAATATGTTCAGAACTGCAGCCTAAATTAAGAGGGATAGCTCTCTGACATTTGGTATAGTTTAAGAGTCCACTTCATTTCATACACTTTATTAATTAAATTTATATGCTGTCTTAACTTTATATTCCGATGACCCTGGGTAGTTTACAAATGAAGTAAAACAGCAAACTTGGCAATAAAAATAATATGAAATTTGAAAGAAGGTAGAGGTGGAAAAATAATGAAGAGTGTGGAAACAGAAGAAAACAAACCTGTATAAAGAGGCTCCAGTCACCTCCACAAAAGGCCAGGAAAAGAAGCAGCTCTTGGGACCCCTTTGGAACACCAACAGGATGTGAAGCCTTTGGACCTGGAGAGATCTACAACATTCTGATGGTTTGGATTACTCCACAAAATTGTCATAATAACTGTATTAGTCTTATGTAGCATAAAATTGTAAACTTTGGAAGATGTGCAGATTTTCTGAAACACTTAAAACTGTACAGTATGTACAGTACAAACTAAAGCATAGCCTGAAATAATGTTTTGGAAGAAAGTAAAAAACAATCGTCTCTTCAGAAGTCTGTTCATGTACAAAATGAAACCGTCCATGTATTCCATTATTTATGAGTTCTACTAAATCACCCACAGGATTCAGAGAATTAATTTTCGCAATTATTTATTCAAGCCAGTTGAAAGCAGGGGCAGTCAAAAACAAACCATTTCGTCTAAATCAGTTGCAACTGGAATGCAAGTGCCAAACTGGGATGCAGGACCATACGCAGCTCAAGTTAAGAAATAATAATAATAATAATAAAAAAAAAACCCGACTAGTCAGTTTTAAAAAGGAGTCCCTCAAGCAGGCGGAGTGCAAAATCCAAATGAAGAGTGAAAAGTTAAAAGGAAAAAAAAATGCAGATCACAGCATACTCACTTTGGAGCTGAGCCACTACCTTCAATGAAATTAGTGCAGAGCGTGCCTTAAGTTTTCTGAATTTTGCAGGCTAAGCAGCTGCGGGGGAGGTGGCACAAAGCAAAGGGAAGCGAAGGAATATGTAAAGAAAGCAGTAGCCACCCCACCCCACCCCCGCATTGACAATTTGGTTTCCTCCCGGCCCATCAAACGACGCCAGAGCAATCTCTAAAAATAAGGGGGGAGGGGGGTTTCGCTCGTTCAAAGGACCGGGCGTCTCACTGTATGGAGCGAGCGTGTCAAAAGGGCTTTGCTCGCTGCAAGAGTTTGTTCCCGCGGCTTGCTTGCTCCGGAGAGGGACGAACCCGCCACTTCGCTCGCAGGTGGCTTGGGAGAAGGGGAGGTGGTAGCAGCAACAGCGCGGCGGGGAGAGGTGGGGGCGAGGCTCTGGTCCCTCCTAAAGGATGCGGGGGGGACGGGAGTTTGGAAGGTATAATGATTGCCATCCTGCAGCATTTCCCTGTGTCATGGCTCCGGTATCCTAGCAACTGCAGCGAGTCGGGCCGGCAGCAGCAACAGCAGCCGCTTTCAGACGGAGCCATTGAGGAGCAAGAGTCGCAGCAGCCTGGAAGCAGCCGCCGCAGCTCCGCGGGGCAGGAGACGCCGTCCGCCTCGAGCGGCCGCCGCAATCGCAACCCCTAACAAAAGCCTCCGGGGAAGGCGGAGGGGGAGGGGAGGAGCGGCTGGAGCGGAGGGGCGACCCCGAAATCCGGAGCGCCAGGCAGGATGCGGGCTGGAGCGGCGGGCGACGCACTTTGCAGAAACTCCTTCTGCTCGCCGCGCCCGGCGGCCGCGGATGCGACGAGGCTGAGCCGAGCGAGAGCTTCGCTGCTCTGACGGGGATGGCTCCGAGTCGACGGGGGGCGGGCTGGAGGGGCCGCGGGGTCTTCGGCTCCCACCTGCCGGGCTGCAAAGTTTCTCTCGGATTTCTCGCTGGGCTCCGAGGAACTTGCCTGCAGTTCTGACCTCCCCTCTCCCGCCCCCCGATTTTCCCCGGTAAGAGACCAGACGGAGCTTGTGCGTTTGTTAAATGCTGCCATTTTGAACCAGAAACTCACCCGGGGATTCTGCGGCTTCCCCCTTCCCCCCTCCCAATCCCGCGCCCCCGGTCCGCTACCGAAGCGGGGCTGGGAGGCCATCCCGCCTGGGCCACCATGATGGGTGGCTGTCGTGGCGGCTTCTCTCTTCTTGGGGGCACCAAAAGGGGAAATGGCACCGTAGAGAAATCGCCTTCGGGAGCTTCTAAATTGAGGGGACAGACGAGTTGAGACGATCTCCGGTTAATGGGCGCCTGGCAGATGGAAAGTGCCTGTAAATGGATGTCTCTTCGGCGGGAAGTTTTGTTCTGGGAACTCGGAACGAGGCGCCGGGCTCCCTTTTAACCGACCCCACGGCGAAAGCGAAAATCTTCCGCATGGCCACCTTTAACCCCCCAGGCTATCCGTCATGCCGGGAATCTTCTTAGCTTCATCTTTCGCAAATCGCCCTCCAGAGGCACAGGCCACTTGGCTAATTACATTATGTAGGACAGCAGAGCAGCAGGTATGACAGCCATAATGTTTTATTAGGCTCTCTCCCTGCAGGCACGTTTCGACTTGCAGCAGCCAGGAAACTAACTCTCTCCCAAGAACAAGCTGCTCTTTTGGGAAGGCTGGATTAAATTATATCCAGACGGACTTGGAAGGTGGCTTCCCACCCAACCACCTCCCGGTTTGGTTTTCTTTTCTACTCATTCATCCATCCATTGGGAAAGGCAAAGAAAAGTAGCCGGGAGTGGGCTTCTAGCTTGCATGTACTCTGGTAGACCTTTTAGACTTGAAACGCTGCTGAAATCCTGGAAAACGGCATGAAACACCCTCTGGAATTGCTTTGGTTATGTAGCAGGGTAATGGTATACCTATTCGTTGATGTCGCTTACTTTGATATATCTCTGCATGTTCCCCAAGACCCGGGTCCATCTAGAATTAAGAGTATTTCATCACATGATATTAATGAAGAGTAGGTGGGCTTCCTTTTGAGGAATTCTACCTGTGACTCTTTTACTTTCCATATTAGTTAACACTGATCCTGCCTATATGTATCCTAAAGTGTTTCCCCCCCCCCCCCATATTAAAAGCTTAATCTTTGGGTTCTGTGTGTGTGAAATAAAATCTTATTTTAATATACAATAAAAGAGGAAGCAAGTGATCATATTGGTTGATTAATTACTTGAGGTATATTGTCAGAATCAGGATTTTTTTGGGGGGGGGCATGGCATTTAATCAAACATTGTTGAATCTGGGGATTTTCAGGAAATGTGGAGATTTAGCTGATGAAGGAAATAAGCTTACCTAGGATGCCGATTTCTTTTTTGTTTTCAAGGCAAAAGATTTAACTTTATGCGACATGTTGAAATGATTGCTGTTACGTTTCATTCTTATAATGTATTTCATTCCCTCTGGGAAAAGCAAGGAATGACCTTTAATTAATATTTTCAGACAACTCTGAACAGTTTGTGAAGAACTGCATAATTCAGTTGTCTGAATAACTGATTATAAAACCACATGCAGTGATATAAACAAAATCTTGCATATTATTTCAAGCTGCTTTTCAACAGCTTTTTGTTCCCCGGGTTTTTCAAAATAGTGTCTTTTCTTAAAAAAAAAACAGGTTTAGTATTGTGTATCTCTATTGCCACTGCATTCTTTCATCGATAGGCTGCAAATTCACTGATGTTACATAACCAGTTACCTTGAACATCTTACGTGATTCCAAATCAGGCATATGTCCAGAGAATATATTCATCCCCTAAATTTAAAAAAATAGTATTATATAGAAAATAAAGATTGATATGACTTGCTTAAAACAAAGTTTTGATATTAAAATCCAACTATTTCTTTAGTATAACAACAGTAAAATAGAAAGTCTAACTTAAATAAAACCCCTATATTGTTCAAGACAGTATATAATATACATAATGCTAATGACCCAATACCCACCAGTTTCATTTCCAACATTTTCTAATTTAATTTCTTTTCCTTTGCAAGATAGATGACCATTACTAAGCTTCTTTTGCAATCTAATCTTTTGGCCTCATTCAAAAACAATAGTCTGAAACCAGGAAACAGCTTATTAGTTGATCTAATCTCCATAAGAAGGTACACATTCATAGTAAAAGAACAGGAAATATTAAATGCAAGCAGGAACACAAGGTGTGATGAAGGCTTCATCAAGCTTTTTTTATCCTTTTAAGACAATGCAAAATGTTTAAATATTGGTTATTTTGATATAGAAAAAGCCAAAACTGCAACATAAAGAACTTTAAAGGGAGGGTATAAACTGCAATTGGCAGATATAAAGTTGATTTTGAAGTATTTTTTATAGAATAGTTGAAATTAATCTTTAATTGGTTGACCTTCCCACAGATCTTTCATTTTTTGCCCTCAGTTGCTAATTCAAAAGTATCATGCTCTTTTCCATCCAACTCACATTAATGCATGTAGGAATGTTAAATTATACTCCATGACTCTCTAATGTGAGCAGTTAATGAAAGGAAGGGTGGAAGAAATCAACTCTCTTATTCTGTTTTCATTCCTGATGTCCATGCATACAAATATAGCTTGCTGATGAATCAGTCAAAAGGCCATCTAAATCAGCCTTCAGTTCTAACAGGGTCAGTTATTATGCAAGTAAAATATGAGCACAAATGCATCTCCAAGTTTGTGTGCCATGCCAGTTGGTATTTGGAGGCATGCTTTTTCTAGTACTGAATGTTAGTATCATGACTTCCATAAATATATTTGATATCCTTTCATTTACACACTTTGGTGACAATTTTCTATCTTGTGAATAATTCCATAGACCAGTTACTCCACAGTATTGAGATACATTAGGTGGTCATTAAATTATAGTACTATAAAAAGAGAAAGTTTTTTTTCCTTATGCACTACTTTTCAGCAGACATAATTTTGTCTTCATGGCTTTCCTTATTAGTTTATTTTATGAAACTAAAAGCTCCTTGTTTTGTTTGTATTTTTCTGACTTTCTAATTCTATCTCTGTCATGATGTGCAGTGGAGATTTGAATACATGCATTGCAACATTGTTTGTGTCTTAATCCTTTCATAATTATCAGGTCAGGAAATATTTACCTTGGCAGATTTCCTTTTTCATTCTTTTAATGTTCAAACGGAATGACAATCATTTTAACAAACTAAATCTTTTTCCCTCCTCCTGCCTACACGAGGGTGGGCCACGATTTTTATTCCTCATGGGATCTTTGCCAGAACAAAAGTAAAATGGGTGTAGTGTGTAGCAAAAAAACCCTAACCCAATAAAATTTGGGGTCAAAAGAAGATATCTCAAGATGCTTAACAAAGTTTTCAATAAATGCTACCATAGCATTTATTCATATGAAGTAGAAACCTAGTCTCCAGACCAGTTTGTAACATACATCCAGTTGTGAAGATTTGAGACAGAGTTAAGGAAGTTTCCAAGTACTCACTAGCCATAGTGAACCAGAAAAGATTGAGCAGAAGTCAGTTTAGAGATTCTATGAAATGGGTAGACTTATATTTACAGTAGAGGACCCTTAAGGGATTTGAATGTTCCAGTTTCACTCAAGGATAGATATACAAAGGAAAAATTTTATGCAGCATGGGGGAAAAATATGAGCTACAGTTTAGAATAAAGCTGTGAAATTAGCTTACCTCTTCAACCATCCATGCCTGTTACAGCCTTCTACAATCCACGTTATGTTTACCTCCTTTGCATACAAATGCATTGTTTCAGTAGTTTGAATTACTCACATGTTTTGAATTACTCATATGCTACTCATAGGGTCAAATTTTCTACTCGTAGCCTCCAAGAATAGTCTTAACATACATGTCAACATACATATACATTATTGTATTCATTGATGTGAAAATGGCTTCAATTTTTCAGATTATATGAAGTATGATACATTATCACCAACTGCTTTTATTTAGCCCAAAGCCATAGTAAACATGGTGAAATCTTGAGAAAGTTACCCATCCTTGGAGCTAACAAAGAGAGTATGCTCCTTCCTCTACTTATGCAATTTAAGGCCTGGCATTCAGCTAGGGACATCATTACTAAGAGCATCTATAACTAGATATTTTTGCTAGATATTTTGCTAGATATTTCTAGGGGTGTGATGAAACTGGCTTTGTGAAAGAATTTAGTCACTAATAATTTCTACAACAGCATCTCTTTGAACTTTATCTAATCAGAACCAAGTGTGAACAAAAATGTCACTTAGTGCTTTCACATCATTTTCCCAAGTGTGTTTTTTTAATAAGAAATGCTCCTTAAGATGCAGTTCCATTGCAAGAGACAGTGCATATAATTAAAATTAAGTTTCATTAAAAATTGAGGTGTGAATATACTTTTTCATCATTAGTATACCTAAATAGCATAATAGGAAACATTAAGGTAGAATTGTTACATGATGACCAGAAGGAAAGAGAATCAGATGGGATTATCAATAAATCTGAAATGTTGAGAAATTAACATACTTGGAGGCTTGGGATGTACACATGACAGATGTAAAATTGGGTTAGAGTCAGAGCATGGTGTCATGCATGAATTTCAGGGGAGGGGGGGAATCCTGATCCTAGGATAGTTTATTTACCAATGTAATTCATGTCAGTTATAAGCTGTCTGTCTATGTGATTTAGGTAGTATTTAATTTGTTAAACCCTCAAAAGAAAAATGAAACAAGTCAGCCAAATCATAATACTATACTGTAGTCCCTAAATCTGATACCAAAACATAGAACAATAACATAAACTCCATCTATAAACAATATAGACTTCCTAACTAAGGTAGTTGTCAACTATCATGAGGAAAAGATTATGCCTGGTCACCAATAAAATGTCTACCAATAAAGGAGTTACCAATAAAACAGTCTCTATCTAATCCCTGTAAATCAAGCAGTCAGTGGAGGTAGACCTAGCAGTAAGACCACTGGAGCTGATTGATGTAGCAATATGAAAGAGGCAATCCTTCAGTCTTAAAAAATCAATAGTACCATTTTAATTGGGCTGAGAAATTAAGTTGATTTGGATGGTTGTTGTCCACTCACTAAGCCACAACAGTTTGTTGGCTTCAGAACTTTATAGTTGCTAAAGATTTGTGAACAATCTTTAAAGAGAGTCCTACCTGAGGAGTACAATGATTACAGTAGAGGATTGGATTGTAAAATGGACAGAGCTTGCAGAAATTGCAAAGCTGATCTGTTTGGGGGAGAGGGACAATAAAAACTTTTTAAGACTGGAAGACTTAAATGGTTACTGAAAGAAGAAAAGGCTTGGCCAATGATTTATAGATTTGGGGATTAGAAAGGGCTAAAGAGGGAGGGGAAAAGAGTAAGATGGTGATTACTCAATTGAAGGAAGAGCAGAATTGAAAATTTTGTTTTATTTTTTATCATTTTTCTATTTTCCCCTTTTTCTTCCATTTCTGTTGTATTATAAAATTTGAATATTTTTTTTTAAATGAAAGAATACAGAGATTACAAAAGTCTACAGAAGCATAGCCGTTTTGATAGAAAAGTTCTTTAGATCTAATATAATCTATAGATAGAAAGAATATAATCGGGTTCCGGAGTGCAAGCGGTGTGCAAAGTTGTTCTTATGTAGTAGTAAAGCATGTACAGACCTCTATGCAAAACAGTAAAATCCCAAACTATTAAATCTGCATCTTCTTTTGTGTCTATTTCAGCTTGTTCTCTCCAGAACAAATTCCAAGCCTTGATTTATTGGAATTCATATCCATAGAAGAAAATGTTCTAGCACTTCATCTGATGCTACATTATTGTAAACAAAAAGAAAAGGAAGCTTCTCAGTTGATCCAGCAGTAGATGATGATGATGATGATGATGATGATAATGATCATCCACAGGCAGCATAGCTAATACCATGCGGTCAGCTTGGTGATACTAAAACTAATAGGTTATTGTAAAAGATTCTCTTCCTCTTGTCTAGGTAGTATCTCATGTTGTATCATAGGTATCACATGCTTCTTTACATGAGGTTGATTAGTCAATAGTGACTGAGTAGATTTAAGAAAGATTGCTTTAAAAGACATTATCGCTCATACGTTCTTTTACTCTATTTTGTCACAGGAGCCAATGCTGCTGTAGGGAACCTTTTCCTGGATAGCCAGCCATGATCGCCACTGGAGGCCTCTTGAGGATCTCAGCCAGAAAACAGGATCCCTTGCGGCCTCAGGGCCAAGTCTCCAAACACAAGCGCAAAGCAAAAAAAAAACTCAAGAATGATGTGGTGGTGGTGAAGGGCAAGCTCAAAATCTGCTCCTTCTCTGGCCTCATTGCTGTCTGTGGCATTCTAGTGCTCCTTGTGGGGATTGCCTTGGCTGTGGTTGGCTACTGGCCCAAACCCCTTTATAGGACAGGGGGCCTTGTCCACAGTCCATTATTGCAATCATATGGAAATGCCCCTGAAAGCCACACCAAGAACCACACACAAGAAACCAGAGAATCTTACCTAGAAGGCATCAATTCTTCTTTCTCTGGCAACCAGAAAGCACTTTCTCCATCTTTGCCTGCCCCCTCATCACCGTCAACAAATTCGCTTTTCCATCTTTTCTCTAGATATTTGCATTCAGACAAGCTCAAAGTGCTTGGGCCCCTCATCATGGGTATTGGCATCTTCCTGTTCATTTGTGCCAATGCAGTGCTGCATGAGAACCGTGACAAGAAGACTAAGGTTATCAATCTGAGGGACCTGTACTCCACTGTCATAGATGCACACAGTCTTCGGCCAAAGGATGGGGCTCCCTCTACTGTGACCTCGGTCCCAATAAATGGTTTTGTTAACTGTGTGCAATCTCGTGGGCTGGAGTTGAAACCTGGCAGTAGCTCAGGAGGAGAAACCTTAGGAGCCACTGCCATGCTTACCAAGAATATCTGGCACCCATCTGTGAGTGCACCCCTCTCCCCTCCTGACTTGGCTTCCTCACCTCGCTGCTTCCCCACTTCTAGACAAGAGCAAATACCCAGCTTGGCTGATGCCGTTTATAGCATCTATAAAGAAAGAGCTGCATTGGCCCAAAGCGCCCGTAACCCATCTTGTACCCCCACAGATAGTTGGGACCAGCACAGCACTGCCAGTTCCATTGTGGGCTCCTCACTGAGCACCTTCACATTGCTACCACTGGCTCAGGGGGAAATGGCTGATGGAGACTATGGTGACTGGCAGAGGCTGCTGGGTGAACGTGATGACCGAGAAATTCCTCGGGGAGAATTTGAACTTAGTCTAAAAGATCTCAGAAGCAGCTACCTAGACACAGCGCAAGAACTGACAGTGTTGCCCAGGATGAACAAGCGTAAAGTAGTGCTTCGACGCCAGAGCACAAGTTGCCTCCCTGATTCCAGGAGATCCCTGTTCCCTGAGCCCTCTCAGACATTGGGTAGTAGCACTGACCTTGACTCCAGTCTTTTAGCTAAAGCTTCATCTTCCAGCTACTCCAGATCCCTCGATTTGGGGGATTCTCATCTGCCTACACCATCTGTGGATCAGAAAGGTTCCCAGAGCACTCAGTGTGATCAGTACAGAAGCAATAAGGGCTACACTCCACTGGAGGAGTCGGGCACCTCCTTGGAGTCTGTTGCCAATACCCCAGCCCATAAAGCACCTGAAGACTGTGAAGTCAGCTCCAGTGAGGAAATTGGCTCCTCACAGAGCACTAGCAAGGAACAAACAGAGCAGCAGCCTTTGAAAATCCAGAGACAGTATACAAATAAAGAGAAACTTTTCATGATCTCCAGATCAGATGCCATTGTTGGCCTGGAAGATGCAGATCTGGAAAACATTGGCGTTTAAAAGTTGAAATAAATTGGAGACAAACATCTAAGCAACTTGTAATCCTTCTGCCCCTTGTGGATCTAGGAAATGGGCCAACATCCAAAGAGCTGAAGTAGGTTTTCCTTGAATTGCATCAATCAATTCTTATAAAAGTCTTCAGGAGAAGCACCTAACAGGTGTTTGTTTGCATTGTAAGCCTCTTTTCTTTTCAAGCCAAATTGTAGTCCACAATGACTGTTCAGTAAATTCAATGGAATAACAGGAATAGAATGTTTGACAATAATTGTGCACTTTACTGATTTTTTAAAATTCTATTTGCCCATTTTCTTTCTATCTGTTTTTGCTATGGCATACCTGCACACCCTTTCCCCATCTTTAGATAAAGGTGGTTTTCAAGCCAGCAAAATGCATCTCTCTTGTAATGTTTTGTTAGTACGGAGCACTGTTTTCAAAAGATTACCAGTAACAGCTGAATACTAGGCAAAAGATGGCAGGTAAAAACCTGCACTGTTTTTATTTCTGTAATAGTATTATCAGAAGAAAAAAGGGGTAGCACTGTGGTCAGCTGAACAACCAGATTCCTAAATTCAAATAATGAGTACTTTATTGAATATTATTGCACATGTATCAATTAACAGCATTAATAATTATTTTTAAATAAAATATGTTTACAATGACAAAACATATTTAGATAGCATTTAATTCTTCTGTAAATGCTTACAAAAGAAGCCAAATTTTGTTTTCAGTATAAGAATTAGAGATTTTCTTAATCTTCATGGTGGAACAGAATATATCCTTAAGTATTTACTCAGTCATAGAAGCAAAGCAAAAGTGGAAAATCCTATTTTATGCATTACAGATCCCATAACTGGACTTTTAAAAATCTAAATGACCAGTAGACAGCATTAAATAAAATGTTCTGCAGTTATCAATTTCAACGCTTTGTTCAGATTTTTATAGCCCAATCATATTTTAAATATTTTTCATGTTTCACTATTGAAGAATCTGAAAATTAAAGCAAATCTGTTTCTTAAAACTATAGGAAATATTAATTTCCTTATAGGCTAGCTTAATATATTGTAAAATTGAATATAAAATATCTTAATCTAATTATGGGCTCAACCTCCCATGAGAATAAGAGCAAATACATCGCTTTTGTATACCATAATTGCCCCACATTTCACAGTATTTGTAACTTCCACATAATAATACTAACCAAACATTGATCCATAATGAGAAGATTTTGGATATAATTTTGTTTACTGCCGATAGATTGCTTTTACAATAGCTTTCACTTATTTCAGCTAATTTCAGCATCACCATGAAACCTGCTGCTATCCAAATGACTGTCAGTCATCGTTAATAGCTTAATTTGATTGGCCACTGCCAACAGATAAATGTTGTACTACGCTGTGAGTCAACCAGTATCAATCAGAACAAGATGAGTCAGTGCCATTGTAGTAATTATAAGGTATGATGCAATGTGGTCTATAGCTCTATAAACTTTAAATTTGACTTCTGAGTGTGTAGAAGTACAAAAGTAGAAGCTGTATGCGTATCATAACCCTATCTGCAATTTAAAGCAGATGCCTCTTTTTCTGGGATCCTATTCTTCCTGGGATCTGTTGCCCCATAATCCTAGGAAAAGAGGCAGCTGCTTTAAAGAGCTGCAACACATGATAGCTTTGAATTTCCACATGTTCCAAATCACTATTTCAGAATCAAATCCAAAGCACTGCAAATCTTTAATAATGTACTAATAAAGAACTGTATGATCTTCATCTAAATCAGTACAAACAAATATATCTCATTTAATATCCAAAATAGTGCAGTTGAGAAGTATCACATACCAGTCTTGGTTGTACTTTTGTCTGGATTGAGGTATTCCCAACTGCAATTTGCAGTGCATTATGTTCCATTTAATCTAGCCATCATTTCTTCACCCCATCATCAGTTTTGCAGGAGGAAGCTCTTTAAACACTTTCTATATTTCTTTCACTCTGGAATGGTAGTGAAGTAGAGCAAGTGATACATTTTGTTTTTAAAATTCTAAAGTGGGATGATGTGAGATATATATGTGCCTGCCTGAATTCTGACATGATTATAGCTTTAGATTTCAAATGGAAATTTCCCAGCATGTATTGAAAGATTATGTTATTGACATCTAAACAGTATGCATTATCTATATCATTATTCTGGTTGCTGACAACAATATAACATGTTAGAAAATTTCCAGTAGAAAAAAAACACTTCGTTTTTATAGATCTCCATTCAGAAAACCTCATATTCACCAGGTTCAATTTATCTTAGGCGTTACCCCACATAATAAAGTTGGGCAAAGCCTAATAATTGTTTAATTATGTAATTCATGTTTTGTAAAATATCCATTCCTGATAATTGGTCCATAAATGTGAAGTTTTGCTGTAATGTCAACTTCAATTTCACAAGATTTACAAACTCTTATATTTTTTGAAGTGGTGCCAGAATTAACATCTAAAGGATCTATCTTAGGTCTCCAGCAATCAATACCTGCATCTTTTGAGATCCTGTAGCAACTATTTCAAATGTCAGAATTTGTGACAATACTGTTTTCAATTCCATTCCCACTTCTTAAGTGTTGGTTTATTCAAAAAAAGAGGGTGAAGATTGATTGTACCTTACATTTCTAAATTGGCTTTTCTATTTATAATGAGTATTAATTTTGTAATTCATGTACAGCTGCATTGGCTGAACATATATTATAGCAGTTCAGCTCTTATCTTTGGCAAGGTATAAGAATTTCATTTTGATAGGAACCACTATTGAAGTCTATTCTGGATTTCTTAATAATTTGTCTGAGAGCAGAGCAACTGGATCTTGCAACCATTTTCATTTTGTAATAAGCCATTTTGAAGTGCTAAGAGAAATTAAAGGGGAACTAGATTTCATCATGGTTTGGAAAATCAAAAATCAAAACAATACGTAAAGCATGCTGGTTGATCCAAAGATATTTTGAACAAGTGTCCTTCAAGTCATGAATTAGCCCGAGTCCTAGAAGGAAATCTGGATCAAATCAGATCCAGAAGCAGCCATTCCAAGTGTCAGAATGTGACAATAGTTTTAATTTCCATTCGTACTTCCTTAAGTGTTGGTTTATTTTTTAAAAAAAGATGTAGGTTGGTTATACAGGACATTTTTAAATCGGCTTTTCTGTTTATAATGAGTATTAATTTTGTAAACTGTACAGTTGCATTGGCTGAACGTGCATTATAGCAGTATCTTTGACAGTGTATAAGAATCTCACTTTGACAGGAACCGCTATTGACGCCTATTGTGGATTTCTTAATCATTTGTCTGAGAGTAGAGCAACTGGATTTTGCACCCAAGATGCAGTTGCAATATCTTGCATGAAAATGAAGGGCAAGTTCAAATACATTCCTTTGGTTGTGTTAGAGGTAGCAATAGCAATAGCATTTAGACTTATATACCGCTTCACAGTGCTTTACAGCCCTCTCTAAGAGTCAGCATATTGTCCCCAACAATCTGGATCCTCTTATTACCGACCTTGGAAGGATGGAAGGCTGAGTCAACCCTGAGCCTGTGAGATTCGAACTGCCAAATTGCAATCAGCCGGCAGTCAGAAGTAGCCTGAAGTACTGCACTCTAACCATTGCGCCACCACGGCTCTGCAGTACTTTAGTGATGGTTCAACTCTGGGAGAAAAATAATTGAATAATCAAAGTTCCTTTAATAGTTTCTTCTTCGACTAAGGTATCATCTATCTGCATGCAGCTGACATGAGAATGACTTATATTTTCTTAATGAACTGGATTTTACAATAATTTCCTTTTAGTATTACCAAATATTAAATGAGACGCAATGGATCAATGCAACAATGTTTACTTATTAGGGTTGTGCAGCATTTCTGAAATGCAAAATAGAGTTCAAATATCCAGGAATGGACCTCTTTCTGTCTGCTGCTCCTAAAACCAACATGTCTATTTTGGGATCTCTGTCTCTACATGATTCTTTTCTGGAAAAAGGCAAAGCTGTTTTTTAGGAACTGCAGATACGCTCTTTGTTCATATCCTGCACGCCTCTTTTGGCCTTTGAATCCCAAGCATTGGACAACTGAATAGTTATATCCATAGAAATTTAATGGCAATGAACCAGAAGTCTTTTGTCACTATAATTAAGTCATATGTCTAAAAATAAAAGCCGTACTGATGGATTGATTTAAAGATGAAAGCTGCCAAGAGAGTCACTGTGTGATTCAGCTCAAAGCTAAAGGATGTTTGTGTTTAAACAATAGCCAATATTCTTACAACAATTGAGCGCTCATATCCTATTTTCTCCAAAACGACTTTGCTTTTATGGGGAACTAGGGATTTCACCGATGTTGCACTATGATGCAGATAGTTCCATCTGTCTCAGGGAGCAATACTGTGTAATACCAGTATTATATTTTTTTTCTTTTTCTAAATAATGCTATAAAGAATATCACTTAAGGATCAAAGTTACCTGGTTCAACATGGAAGGGTACAATGCAGATACATTTACGCTGGTCTGAGAATGTGCGGTCTTTAAAAAGTACTTTGTTGAAGTACATGTTTTAGCTTTTCTCATTATTGAGCCTGATGGTGGGAGCAGGTGGATGTTGTTCAGCTGATGGGCCATATGTCTCCCTCCTTGCTCCGATATTTAGACAGAACATACTTAATCTACAAGGTCATAAATGCCACAGTGGTATAGCAAGGCACAAGTATTTCTCTGCCAGAGCAGACATATTTTCATGTCACAACATCATTTATTAGTAGCAATAGAAGTTAGAGTATGTGCTATAAGTGTAAATGCTGGTGGAATCCTCTGTCAATGACCAAATATGGGTTCATATTGTGGAGGAAATGTATAAATATTTATCCAAATGGCACCTTATGTGTTAAGCATTAAGCATAGTATGTGTCTTAAATCAGCTGCTCTTGTCTCCTTTCCTGGGCAATGTTAACTGTTAATGCCCAGCATACCTTACCCAAGGATGCTGATGGAAAAGCCAAAAACTACAGAACAGCAACATCTAGTACAGGGGTCTCCAACCTTGGCAACTTTAAGACTTGTGGACTTCAATTCCCAGAGTTCAATTCTGGGAGTTGAAGTCCACAAGTCTTAAAAGTTGCCAAGGTTGGAGACCCCTGATCTAGTAAGACACATACATCCCTCTCCTTGACGTACCCTATGAACCATTTCATGCATGTAGTAGCCATCCTGTGAATAGTAGTTAGGGCAGTAAAACATATAGCTAAAGAGTGGGTAACCATCAATCCAAAGTGCAGCTTCTGTTTGTTTAATTCCTAACTGGTGGGACCAAAAACTGTGCCAAGCTTTGTCACAAGTGGTCTTCTGCAAAAGAAAGCTCTGTTTTTATGCCTTACTCTCAAGAAACATCAGCATTTAGTTTAAAATTTCTATTGCTGACTGTCAGATGCTCAAAGAAAGCCCCATTCTTTTACTCAGTGCAATTAAAGTGGTAGGAGAGATCAGGCTCAGAGATAGATGAGGTCCTATCAAATAATACTGCCTATTGTCCAATTTGAAATGTTTAACATCAAGTAGTTAAAATGCATTCATACGATGTTTCTTGTTTATTTTGTTTCTCTCTTTTTCTTTCTGAAACAAGCCCCTATCAGCTTGCAGATTCTTCATACATTACTTCTTGTTGGATATGTGAGAAGATCTACAGAACACAAGGAAAAAAATGGCCTCATTTATCTTGTACTAAGAAACAAATGGAGATCCAGTTTGGTATAATGGTTGAAGCACCAGGCTAGAAACCAGGAGACTTGAGTCCTAGCTGTACCTTAACTGGCCAGCTGGATGACCTTTGCTCAGTCATTCTCTCTCAGTCCAAGGAAGCAAGCAATGGCAAGTCACTTCTGAAAATCTTGCCAAGAAAACCACAAGGACTAGTCTAGCTGTCATCAAGACTCAAAATTGATTTGAAGGCACAAAAAAAGCATAGGATTTCGTACCACATTACTCTCATTCATTTTCCAAACAACATAGAGGGTAAAATAAATGATTAACCCTAACCCTTTTAAGTGTTTCCAGAAAAAAAGATGAAAAATTGAGAATATTTTTAATTACACAATTGCTTATATGTTAATAATGTATTTGATAATTACGCCTTTAAAATCATCAAATGTATGCAAGTAATACCAAATAAAAACAAGTCTTAGGCAAAAAAAAAATGCTCCCAACTTATTGTGTTTGCTAAAGAATGACAAAAGGCTGTATCTGTCCTTTTGAAACATAACTTCCAGCAAACAATGACTCAGAGCTTCTGCCTGAGGCCTGCAGATAATGCTCAAGCTAAAAATATCTGGGCAAGGTAGGCTCTGCAATCCTATGCTGACTCCGAAATAATGCCATTGAATTTAATGGGGTTGACTTGACAAGTATGAAATCAAATGATGAATTAAATATTTTTTATATCTTTTCTGGGCATGGACGAATATTTCCAGATAGTATAATTACCCTTTTTGAATATATTTGGAAAATACTAAAGGAACCTTCATCACGTGCATTTATGTCACATCTTTTTATTTTAGTAACTTAAAAGAGTCACTATTTTTTAAGCTGACAGTGAACTGGTTAATCATTTGGATGATCAGATGAAAGGTAATGAATAAGTCAAAAAGCTGGAAAGGGCCCTTTCAGTTCAACATCTTTAATGTAGGAATCTAATAAATCTATCCTGCTTCTGCTTGAAGTTATTTATTCAATTATTTGACCTTCCATAATCTACTAGGACTCCTGGCAGTTAATGAATTCACATAACATGAAATATCCATGGTAAATATAAATTATATATGAATTAATAAATAATCCCCCAAACCCATATAAAAAATGCGGACAGCAGCCACTAAATCTACAATCACTCTGGGAGAATTCTATCTTCAGCATCTTCTGCAAGGAGCACTTTGATGGGGCCAGGATGCTGGATGGGGTTGTCAGAAATGATGTTAGCTAGCGTTGAGAAGACCACAGAATCACTTGGTTAAGTGGGCAGTCATAGAAATTGAATAATTGTTTTTTTAAATATATATATATTTCAATCCTAGAAGTGTTTCTAGTCCATTGGTAAACTGAATATTAGAACTCTTTCTTCTAATCCAATAGGGTTTTTTTGTTCATATCCTTTAAAAAGCCTTTAGTTTCTTTCTATATATATATTGAAGCATGGAACCTTTTAATGATAGCATGCATACCCTCATAGAAATTAACCTATGAATTGGCCACAGGGAAAGCATTCAAAAAATTACTTCAGTGACCTAATTTTTAATCTCTTACTAATGAAAGAATGCATGGCTCAGTATACAGCTTCAAGTGACCTACCCAGGGGCATTTGAAGGGTCATGGGAGTAATTAAATAGAGCTTAACATATTTGAGAGCGTTTCTTGATTCATATTTTTCTCGGTGAGAAAAATGCATTTATGAGATTAGTAGGCTTTCTTAAAAAGAAAACAATGGTTTCGAACCATTTCATTAAGACAAAATAGATCAATAAAATGACTTCTGTCAAACTATAATATCATTTTGGGGAATAGCATTTCAGAAGGACATATAATGTTGTTCCAAAATATTGCTGGAAATAAGTCCAGAAATAACATTAGCAATGAAGAAAGATATAAGACAGTAGTAAATGCTTACCTTTTCATATAATGAAAATGTCATCAGTTTATACCTTGGCAACTTTAAGACTTGTGGACTTCAACTCCCAGAATCTGGCTGAGGAACTCTGGGAATTGAAGTCCACAAGTCTTAAAGTTGCCAAGGTTGGAGACCCCTGGTTTACACTTTACAATACAATCTCCCACTTGGTCAGCTGAAAAGCTTGTTTCCTTATTCTTTATCCTATTATGGAGAGCAGGGAAAGATCCATGCTGAGCAGCTGCCTTGTTATCCCATTGTCCTCCCCATCATACTCCCACAGCCCTTCATTGCATTGCAGGTAAGGAGCAAAGACATTGATGCAGGGACAAAAAGTGACAGTGGCAAAATGTGTCCTGGGCATGGACTGCAACCATACAAATACCTGAATGTGATTAAACATGACAGATTTACTATGGTAAGCATACTTCAATGGAAAAAGGGCCATCCAAAGCATATATAAACATGAATATGCATATGTGTGTACATATATGTGCTTGTGGAAAAGATTTCATATGATAATAGTACCTTCTGTGGCAGGTATACCCAATACCCATAGACATTTGCAGAAGGGCCCCACAATTGAGCACACTGAGCTTGTCAGCTGGAAATCTGACAGTCTGGGTTCGAGACCCAACCATCACGCAACAGGGTGAGCTCCCATTCTTGCCCCAGTTCCTGCCGACCTAGCAGTTTGAAAGCATGCAAATGCAAGTAGATTAATAGGTACCATTTTGTTGGGAAGGTAACAACATTTCTTTGGTGTATAGCAATCCTGGCCACATGGAAACTGTCTCAGACCACACTGGGTCCCTCAGGAAACAGATGAGCACCACGCCCTAGAATCGGACACACAGAGAAACCTTTACCTTTAACTTTTAGACATTTTCATAATATTTCTCAATGAATGAGTCACCATACAAAAAAGTTAGGTATTATTAGAATCATCTCTGAGATTACAGAGCTGAAAATGTTCTGTTGCGTATCCCTGTTTTTCCTTAATCACAGATAGTGCCATTGAGGTAATAATAATCTCTAGTTCTACAAATCAATTCATATTTTTTAGATTAAATCAAGATCAGGATCATCAGCTTCAGAACTACATCACTGCTCTCACTTGACAAGCTATCCATCACTCACCTTGTTCAAATTCTACATATTGAAACAAAGTCCTTTTAATTCATTTAGAAGAAAAATGCAGGCATAGAAGAAGAGATGAGTCTGGCTTTTCTCCTGCGGGAGCAGGTGAATACCAATAAAGCTCTAAAATTTGAAGTAAGTTTCATCACAGGCTTTGGAATGCAAAGAAATTTGGATATTGTGAAAGCTAATTTTGACATTATTGCCATTTGCAGTTAGAATGCCAGGTTAATGAACATGGTAAACACTTGCCTTAGTTGTAAATGAACAGTGAAGCTTAATTATTTTGCATCATCAAAAAGGAATAACTGTTACATACAAATGTCAGAATTGACCTGTTACATAAGCTTGTAATTTGAATAGACAAGCCGTCCTAAAGGAATATAAATATGGCTTACTACATATTTTCTATGCTCTATAGAAAATTAATGAGCTTTAGAAAAATAATTGCTGCATGGTGGAATGTTTGTTAATAGGTCACATAAGCCAATTACATCTATAAAAAGAGGTGTAATTAAACAGTCGAAGAATCTTAAAGATATTGCCTCTCAATCATTCTTATGTTTACATGGGCAAACATTAAAAAAAAATAAAAACATATTTTTGTTACATTTGATCACCAGCTGAAGCCAACAATTACCAGTAACAGCCAGACGTTGTCTTTGCATTGTAATTACCTGGTGCACACTCAATGCTGATCATTGAGTCATCTTTCACCATACATAAATCTATTATCTTGTATTCTAGATTACTGACATAGAACATAGAATCATAGGACTGGAAGGGACCTTGGAAATCTTCTAGTCTAACCCCCTGCTCAAGACATGAGACCAGCTGACATCGCGGTGAGATGGACGGGAAGTTTCTGCGCTTCAGAAACTCCCACCGAAATCTCCAGTCCCGGATGGTTCTTTTTGGACCCCGCAGCCTCGTTTTGGCTGCGGTAGTGAAGAGCACGTCCTGGTGATCTCAGGGGTATCGCAAACCCCCTGATTGATCCTGGGAAAGCTCTTTTTCTGGCTCCGGAGTTTCAGCCATTAATGGCTGCCAAGGCTGGGACAGCTTGGAAGCGAGAGGAAGGACAGTGCATCGGATCGGTGAGGTTTCTTTTTTTTAGTTTTATACTGGGGACATCCTGAGACAAATAGTTTTGAAGAGTGTTTGTAAGAAGAGATAAACAACAAACTTTAAGAAGACATGAGACCTTACGCCATCCTTGTCAAATGGCTGTCCAGTCTATTTTTGAGAACTTCTAGTGATTGAGCATCCACCCATCCAGAAGGCAAACTATTCCATTAATTAATTATTCTCATTGTCAAAAAATTTCTCCTTACTTCTAGATTCAATCATTCTTTAACAAGCTTCCACTCATTACTTCTTGTCCCATCCCCTCTGCTTTGGACAACAAATCAATCCCCTCTTCTCTGTGACAGCCCCTCAAGTACTGGAATACAGTTTTGTTCCCCCTAATCCTTCTCTTCAATAGACTAGACATACCTAGCTCCCTCAACCATTCATCATATAAATTAGCCTCCAGGGCCTTTATCATCTACGTTGCTCTTCTCTGTGCACTTTCTAGGGTCTCAACATCATTTCTTTTGTATCATGGTGAACAGAACTATATGCGGTATTTACTAGTGCGGTATAAAGTTGGTATATCACTTCTCACAATCTTGATACTATACCTCTGTTGATGCAGCCCAGGATTACATGGGCTTTTTTGGCAGCTACAGCACATTGCAGGCTCATACTTAAGTGGTGTGCATTAGGATGCCTATTTCCTACTGTTGAGCCAGGTATTGCCTATTCTGTACCTATGTATTTGGTTTTTCCTGCCTAAGTGCAGGACCTTATTTTTTTCTCACCTCTGAACTGCATTTTGTTGGACAGGGGCCAATGGTCACATCTGTCAAGATCTGTATTCTACTTTTTAAAATGTTAACAATTTTCCCCAGCTTGGTGTCATCTGAAAATTGAGAAAGCTCTCTTCCTAGACCCAGCCAGTCAAAATTCTTTACCTGTGGGGTTTGTAACATACCCTCAATGCCTGACCAGGTGGTACAGGTAATGTGATTGTAACAGGACAGTTCCTCATTGGGTCCCATGCCAGGAAGGGTTTTAAAGGTGATAATCAACATCTTGAATTGGACCTGAGAGCAAACCACACCAAATGCACCTCGCACAGCAGAGATGTCACACCCACAGCACCCAAAAAACTGATCACATCTGCATCAGCTTCAGCTTCTGGATACTCTTCAAGGATAGTCTCTACGTGAGGCTATCCTTGAGCATATTGCAATAGTCCATGTGGGAGATGACCAGGGAAAGAATACCGTTTGTTGTCTTGAATTAGCAAGGATGCATACAAAAAAGATGGCATCAGTTGGAAAATACATACATAAAGGTATATTGTGGATGCAATTTTCCTATCCTTTGCATATTATATACGTAATTTAAGAAGTAGGGCAGAAAAATGAATAGCAATATCCACAGTGTTTTCATATGCAGTGACCAATTTAATCAACTGTGATTATCAGTTGTTAGAACAGGTATACAAATGTTTTAGCCCACAGTTGATCAAAAAAGTCCAAACTGGCTGACTACTGACAGCTGACTACTAGATGGAAAGACATAGGTGGATAAGTTGAACAGTAGAGGCTTTAGACCAAAAAGAGCTGTCAAACTCCTGGCCTATGGGTCAGATGTGCCACATGCTGGCCACGCCCACACCCAGTTTAGCAAAGGGGGGGGGGGAAATCCCAATACATCACGTGACGCCGCCATGACAATGTGAGTTTGACACCCTTGCCTTAGACACACCAAAATATATAGTATAAGCAGGGAGAAGCCATCTATACTGAAGTTTTGAATAACTTAGAGAAAAACAATGTTTATTTTTCCTCAATACACTTGTTTTATCCTTTCTAAAACCAGCATATTTTACTGTCAAGATACCCATTTAAAAAAATAAATAAATCATTATTTCAAGATTTGTTAGAACGTTAACCCATCTTTCCTCAAAGAATTCAAGGTGGCTTATGCAGGGTCTCTCTCAACAGCAACTCTTAGTTGGTTGACATTGCTGGTGAATTTCCCCAGTTAAGGTTGGACTCAAACTTGGGTTTTCTGATTCTAGTTCAACAATAGTCACTAATTCATCTTGCCTTCAGCAATTGCATCCTGAGGCTCTCTATTAAAGCGAGCCTAATATTTTTGAAGGAGATTGTTTTAGTATTGTTACTAAGAATACTACTTTTTCTTTGCAATGTACAGTTCCAGGAATATGTTGAATGTATTCCAGAGTGTGTACTTTCAATTGATTTCATAAGATGGTCCATCTGATATTGCAAGCATTGGTACAGAATAATAAGTAATCAAAGTGCATTAAATAGTCATCCTGCTCAAATTCATCTAACAGTGGCAAAGCATTCCTTATAACTGGTCATTCAATCTGTGCTAAAATAAAATAATACACATACAGTGCAAAATATTGTTGCAGAAACTTCTAGAATATCCAAAGACTCAATCAGGGGAACTTAAGTCACAGGACAAATTATTGTAAAAGAGGCCCTTGAATTAGAATGTCTCAAAAATAAATAATGTTCTTTATTTGTGAATATATACTATTATCAATAGTATAGGAATGATAATAGCCAGTAAATTTGTTTATAGGAATTTAAAAATATAGTTGCTTTAGACTGCCAAGCTTAAAATAAAAACAATAAACTTTTCTAATAAATTTCACCAGATTTTTCATTTGTGCCCTCTGCTGGACAAAATGTATTACTAATACCTGACAGAAGTGTAATGTTATAGCACATTTTATCTAGTACATACAGTACTGGATAAAAAAGATAAAGACCATGTAATAATTTTATATTTTATTTTTGATAA